TTCCTTTAGTAACTGCGATGCAGTCGGATCATAATCAAACACACGAAATTGTTCATGTGATCAAAATCATGCCAAAATCGTGTGTTTTATCGTGATTTATTAGGACAACTAATCGTGAGATTACATAGAGATTAAATCACTCAAAAAAAACCGATTTTCTTTTCTGATTTTTACAGAAAATCGCAATTTGCCATACCACATTCACAACGATCATACCTAGCCGTAATGCTCAGCTCTAAGACTACGACTGTATCTCGATGGGTATACGATCGTCTTTTATCATCGTACCCATAAAAGTTTCTCATAAATGAAGAACAGGGATCTGCACGTCCTTCCAGACTCAGGTCTTGTCAGATCCGGATCCATAGTTTTCATGGATTCACACTCCCTAGATGGGAAAATAAACAACACAAAATAACTGTACGTTGACATTTTTTTTTCGGAGAGTAGCCAATAAATAGTTAAAACCTTGATCTTTCACTTGTTCATATATACAGAGGGTGCCAGATATTAGTGGAAAAAAACTCGAATCTAGACTTACAAAAAAGGTGAATGCGCAGTTCCATAATAAGCAGAGAGATGATTTTGTTTTCAACTGTAAATAATAAAAAAACAATAGGTTTTTTTTATAAGTAAATACTTACTGTTGAAGTTTGTTGCAAAACCGCCGATACATCACATCTGTCGAAATAATCACCGATTAATCGTTAAAAATGAGCTGGTTTTGATGATATAGCTATTCAGTTGTCATTCTATAAAAGACTCGATTTCCATATATTTCTAATATCAGTACTAATTATTTATTTTTCTGAAGATGAATTTTCTTGAAAACCAAATAAAATCTCTATTTTATTAAAATCAAAGATTTTCTGAAATTTTGAAATACTTTCAACAACTTTTAAAACATTTGAAAATGTTAGAACTATTTCAATGTTGATTTTCTACAAATTAGAATTGATTTCGAATTTATAATATAATTACATTAGTTCAAGTCATTTTATCGAAAGTTTTTTTTTTGATAGTCATCGTTGTTCATCCCGTTCATGATCTTAATTATGACCTTGTATAAAGATTTTGATTTGTTTTGAATAATTAGATTTCGTTTGATCGTATTGAATAAACAAAGATCACATGATGCTCAATCTCGACAATTTGGCAATTGACGAATAATTTCAATATCTTTCGATTCGATATGTAGTTGAGTATATACTTCTTGTACATATAGTATAGAATTATCATAATGAAGTTTTATGGCATGTGTGCTACATGTTGATATTTTGCTGTGAATTTCATCAATACGATGTTCTAAGCAATTATTAATGTAATAATGGTGATAGTCGGTTTGTTCTTATTCAACATGATGGATTAGTGCGAGAACCGTTGTTTTGAACAAGATGCAAAATTGGATTTATAAAGTAATACGCCTTTTAATACATTCTAATACATTAACTTCATGGAACACTTTAAGAGGGTCCCCCCTCCCCTTACAAAATCGGGTTTTTCAAAAAAATATCGAATGGTTGATTTTCTATCATAGAAAGATGCAACGAAGCTTCCTCTTTTAGAATATATATGACTTTTTAAGAAATGATCAGATTTTCAAAGACTTGTCACATGAAACTTTGACCTTACTGCCATATTTTCAGGAAAATTTTCGTGGTTTTTAAGGTTTATCAGTTTTGGAAAAACTGCGTTGCCACTTGCATTATCATTGAATAGAACATTTTTATATTAACCAGCATATCAGATGGCATTAGCTACTTTCATCTATTACGTACTTTAAAACGGTCCACTGAAATATTAAAAATATACTATTGTAATATAATTTGTTCTGGATTTAAATGAAAAAATCCATTTCTAAAACTTCTTTAGTGTTTTTCTCGAAATACGGTTTCTAGACAGAAAAATTGAAATAACTTCCTCTCGGTTCGGGGTATTAACCATGGTTTTTGTTTAAAGGTCTTGATCAGAGCTAACTTTTCATCGGACAGATTTTTGATACTTGATTTCTCGAGCTCTGTACTCTTTCTAACGACGGAGTTATTTCGATTCTCCTGGAAAGTAGGAAACAAGTCGAAAGTTCTGTCTAGTCAGGTATATCAGGCTGAAGTTTTTAACCACAAGCGTTTCTCACTAGGACCCATCGTTCTTAAAAATTTCAGCTGAAACTATCCATTCTATATGGGAAATCAATTCTGAGGGAGACTTCTTAAGTCATTGAAATGCAATTGGTTTTATTTTCAATTCAAGTCCGAAATCGTTCATTTTCTAGTATACATAGGTTAGTCAATAAGTTCTTGGACTTTCAAATATTTATTCATAGAAAAAAATTTTGCTAATCTTTTTACAGTTAATGTTCAAGGTACTCCCCACGATGTTCAATACAAAGTTTCATCTTTTCAATCCACTTCTGGAATGCCTTTCGGTATTCTTGAATAGATATTGAATTAAGCTCTTTGATTATTGCTTTAGCTAAACTTATAGCATCTGAATATGCATCAAGGTTATGTTTCAGACAACCGAACAACCAAAAGTCTGAAGGAGCATGATCAGGTGACTATGGTTGATGAGTCATAACTTTCATTTTTTCTCTTGAGGATAGTAAAGATTGAGAACAATATCTTGAATATATGATTTCGCAATTTTATAATGCAAATTTATGGTACTTGTTTTTGATGATGTTTTTTTCGTATGTAAATTTTTGACTTAAATCTTCAAGTATTTATCACGATAGTTTATATGATAACTGTGTCTGAGATGGTAGTAACATAATCAATATTAATATGTGGATCATCATTCACCATGTCCTGGATCGTATCAATATTTTATTTAGTAATGACGGCTATTGGATGACCATTACGAAGATTATCTTCCAACGACTCTCATCCACTTGAAAATCGATCAATTCATAAGCAGCAGTTAATTCATCATGAATTTGTGTAGCATTTAAATCCAATAACCAACGAGTTTTTATATATGAGCGAATACAAAGTTTATCCATCTGAGAACAGAGGTGTTGGAAAAATTGATTAAAGATTTGTCATAATAGACACTTGTAAAACTCCATACTAGTATTTCAACACATAACAGATTTCACTACTAGAATAGGCCAACATCAGGAATAAAATCAATCAGAATGAAATTTTAGAGTACTATTACGAGAACTTTTTGATTACTCTATGTATTTTGAAAAATCTATTAGGAATCGATTTAAATCTATTGTAATCCATCAACATTAGTCTAGTACTGATATAATCGATATTCAATGTCTTTCTGATATGAAATACGAAATTAAATCACATTTCTTTTTAAGAAAACAAAATAGATATTTTAAAATCTATACTTCAAGAATAGTAACAAATTTGATCATATTTCTTTTAAATCAAAGTCAATAAATAATTTAAACACAACTTTCTGGAAAAAAAACGAGTTTAATCATACTTCTTTCAAATGCAAGAAACAGATAAAAAATAAAGCAGTTCGTTCTCATATTTTCCTACGAAAGAATAAAAGAAATTGATATTTATTCTTTATAATTGAAAGCAAATTTTTTTAATATTCCATTTGAATGAAAAGAAACAAAACTAAATCGAGACAACGAAAAAAAGAAGGCAAAACTTGATCGAGTTCACAGATGGCGCATCAGCAAAGAAATAAAGTACACGGTTGGAAAAAATATTATTCCAGAGGGGTAACGCTATAATTTCAAATAGAAGACATAATGAATTTTATATCAAATGAAAGCTCGTCAAAAATGGGGTTTATTGGTATTAAATAGTGAAGGTTATGAAAACCTTTTAATGTCGAACTTAATAAATTTTCAGAAATTTTATACTTTTTTTGTGATGAAAAATTAAAGTACCAGTGATTCAAGAATGGAGTAAAATGTTTTTCTTGAATATTTTTACACGGTTCGATAGAGCTCGTCAGGCTCTACAAAACTGTATACATTAAAAACTTTTTAAGTCACTTTTTTGCGATAAAAAATTCAAAAAAATATTTGGGAAATGTTAGAAAACGTCAAAAAAATTCATATTGTTCATGTGGAAGAACGACACTTAATTTTTCAATGAAATCAGCTTTTTTCATTAGTATTCTTATGGAAGATGTTTGAAAATATATTCATTGGATGCAGCGTGAAAAATCGCATCGAATGAGTATATTTCGAAACGCCTGACGGAGTAAAAACAATAAAAAAAGCTGATTTTATTGAAAAATTAAGTGTTGTTCTTCCACATGAACAATATGAATTTTTTTGACGTTTTCTAACATTTTCCAAATATTTTTTTGAATTTTTTATCGCAAAAAAGTGACTTAAAAAGTTTTTAATGTATACAGTTTTGTAGAGCTCGACGAGCTCTATCGAACCGTGTAAAAATATTCAAGAAAAACATTTTACTCCATTCTTGAATCACTGGTACTTTAATTTTTCATCACAAAAAAAGTATAAAATTTCTGAAAATTTATTAAGCTCGACATTAAAAGGTTTTCATAACCTTCACTATTTAATACCAATAAACCCCATTTTTGACGAGCTTTCATTTGATATAAAATTCATTATGTCTTCTATTTGAAATTATAGCGTTGCCCCCCTGGAATAATATTTTTTCCAACCGTGTATGAAATTTATTTTCATAATAAATAGATCTAAATGAAGACCTAATTATACAGGGTGATAGAAAATTCCACGGACTTGCAGAATATATGATTATTTTTTAAAAGATATCTTATTATAGAAAAAATGTCATTAAAATACTGAATGCAGTTTCTTTTTTCCGGGGATATATATGGTGAAAAATTAGATCGAGTTGAAGATTTTTACTATTAATCTTTGTGGACTTAATGAAATAGTTAGTATTTATACCAGAAACACAAACATTTATATTAAATAGCAAAGATAAAACATATCGATTATCTATGAAAATAAATTATCAAATACCATATCCAAAAAATGATTATGTTGATAAAAATATTCATAATACAAATAATAAATTATCATATTATGCTAATCTATAGTATAATACAATACAAACACCTCGTTTAAAAATAACACCAACATGGTATACGAGAAAACGTGATTCAGTTGGTGGTGGTATCAATAGTGTTTGATTAATCTTTTTTTTAATTTTTCTGTCTTTCATTGTACAGTTTATATATTCCGTTGTAAATAATGAAAAAAAGAAATGTGTTTAAGTTGAGAACAAAAGAATATTTATAAACAATGTTTTGAATATATCGTCGAATTTCTACTTGTTTTAATTGTCCATCATGGTTAGTATTAGTAGCGGTAAGACTAGCATCATCAACATGAAATCCACTTTGGGTTATACTAACATCGTCAGCTAAAGCACTATTACCAATCAAGTTTGATGCTGACGATGAATAACTTGTATTACCAAGCTTAATAGCTTCAGTATCAGCAGCTCGTTGAATTCCTTCACAACTAGTTACACCTGATAATGAAAAATCTTGAATGATTATTTCATTTGCCAGCTACGTAGCGATTCGTCCGGAATATAAAGGAAAATATCGGTTTTTTATGAAAATATAGGAAATATACGGGACAATTTTTTTCAGGAAAAAGCCTTTTAAGAGGTCTGTCCAACATTACAACGTCCCCAAAATCATAAGCAGATCATACTCGAAGTTTCCAAATAAATTGAGAACGAATATATATTTCAATTACTGAAAAAAAGAGATGCAACAAAGTTCAATCCGAAAAAATCAGTTCAAACAACATGATGACTTCTGTTTGTTTTATCAATAACGGGTTGACTTATATCTATATGAAAAAAATATAAAATATTTACATAATAAAAACATTTAAAAAAATACTTGAATTTATTTGTATAAACAACTTGCAAGGGAGAAAATGGATGTTTAGAATCCTAGCATATAAACACCAGCGCAGCATCTTTTAGTATTGAAAATTGATAATAGCGTTCACAGAATTGGTAAATACGATAGAAATTCAGGTTATAGATAAGCGTGAAAGTCATACCGTTCGAATTCTATTTTTTTCGAAAATAACAATTTTTTATAGAACTTGCTCGAACAATTTTGTGGTTGATGATAGCAAATCTGCAGGAGATTTGTCGAAACTCTTAAGTTCGATTTTTTCGATCAGTAGAGACCTATTTTAAAACAATAGACGAATTTAATAAGACTCGGCTAAATAGCGAGAATAAGCTTATACTGACCAAAAAAAATATCAAACTCAAGAGTTTCGAGAAACATCTGTAGATTTGGGTTCCTCGGCACCAAAAATGTCTCGGACAAGTTTTATAAAGAATTGTTATTTTTCGAAAAATACTTTTATCTTGATAGAAAAGATCGAACGGAATAGTATAACTCTCATTTCTAACTAAAATCTCAATTTCTATCTGGTTTTCCAAAACTCTGAGCATTTCAGAATCTTTCTAGCACCATACTATCGTTCAGCATCTCAGCATTTTCCCAGCATAATCTGATACATAAGTGTTGCACTTATTCCTTCGACAACTTGTATGATCTGTTTTTTATAATTATTGATATTAAATACGCATAAAAAATGGCATAAACAAATATATAATATATAAATAAATGATAAGAAAACGAAAAGATCTTTTTCAATCAAGACTGATCGTTGAACTAACTATTGTCTTTTGTTCTTGATATTGTTGTTGTTTTCAAATACATCTTTACTTCTCTTTTGAATATTAATTAAGTTCTCTGTAACTTTCGATAATTCCTCACTCATAACTCTACATCGATTATTATCTCTATCAACCAATATTATACTATCACTAACTGCTATTCGTTTTATTGTGGAAGTTAATAGCAATATGCGCAGAAGCATGTGTGTTTTATCTGATTGAAATACATTTTATTTAAAAAGAATCTTTACTTTTTCAAGATATATACAAAACATGGGACACATGTCTAAAAAAGAGGACATTATAGGACTATTTCTAAAGATATAAGAAATATACGAAATATAAGACGACTACGAAGCTTATTCATTTGACAGATGAAAATCAGGAGTATTTCCGCGTATATATGTATATATTGAAGATGAGTATACCGGAGGCGGCTACAATAAAAAATGTATATATATATGTTTTTTTTGAAGTTTTTTTAACAATTTTACTGTATCTTCATAAACACCAGCATTACGACCCTTTTGAACAAGTGTCGCTGTATCCAAAAGTGATGAGTCATAACAAGCTACACAATTAGCAGGATTTTCTCGCATAACACCAAGTTTTCGAAATCGTCGGATTATACATACTTCAACAGCTTCATACATAACAATCGGATTACGTCGTTCTGAATATATTGTAGCAGAAGGAGCGCGTTGAAGAATTGTGCGACGTTGAGGTTGAGGTTCATAGGGAATCCATCGTTCAATTATAATATCGCCTAAATAGCAAAAAAACAACAATCTGAAATAAAAAAAAACAAAAAGGAAACTGAAGATAATTCTTTTACGTGGTTTTTCTGGAGGAGGTGGAAAATGTTCGATGACAACTGATCGTGGTGGAACAGGTATTTCAGGTAAATAACGAATAACTGTAAAATAAAATACATTGATCAATATAATCTATGCAATTTCAATTTGGTTTTTTTAACTTGTTTCACTGGGGATACGTGGCGGTGGTGTTGGTGGCCGTTCACGTAAGATAAGTGGAGGTGGTGAAGGAGGACGTGGTGCATGCTGGCGTATGACAAGTGGTGGAGGTGGTGATGGTTGTTGTGGACGCACTTCTTTAATAATGAGTGGCTAAAATCATACAAACATTAGTAAGATTGAATTTGTAAATGTTTGTTTCATTACTCCTGGTTCTGGAACTGCTGGTGGTTGAAGATATCGAACATGAACTCGTTGTTCATATGTCACTGGACTTGCAGTTGCTGCTTGTCGAATAATTTGTGGATTAGGATCCTTATAAATATCAGCCGATTTTTCAAGATATTCATTCGTTTCTTCTAAACTACTTGTATTAGTTACCGTACCACTAACCAAGTTACTAGCTGCTGTAGTTCCATATGCAGCATACTTATTGAACGTATATCTATCTCGATCAACTCCATCATAGTCTAAACAATTAAAAGTGTGAGTGAAATTTTTTTTTGTATTCATTTTTATTTCATGATGATATGTTCTCTTGCTTTTCATAAACTACAGACTGATATGGATTGGTCATATATTTACCATTATATGACCAATCCATATTAGTCTGTAGTATATGGAAAGCAAGAGAACCTATTATCATGAAATGAAAATGGATACAAAAAAAAAAAAAACTTTCATTCGTACTTATAATTGTTCGAACTATAGTGGTTTTGTCATTACGATCAAGGCCACTAGTTGATGGATTTGTGTCAATTTCTTCAAAATTTGCCATTTTTCCAGATCGACAAAGTAGAAATAAATTCCTAAAATAAACAGAACTAATGATCATTAATTTATATATCTCTCATAAAAATATTAAATGTTCAATCAAGCATGAACGACATCATACATAAATACAAATATCAAACACTTATTTTATAACATCAAAAGTATCCTTGTTCATATTCTTTTTAGTTTGTTGGTAAAAGAAAACTGGAAGTATTAATAAAACAAAAAAATATAGAAATCGTTGTTGCGTCATTCTTACAAATAGTTCATGAAGGTTAGAATATAACCATGAGAATATTGTAAGAAAAAAAAAAAGAGTCCTTCATTAAATCAAATGAAGGGAAATTAATCCATTAAGAGTTCAAAAAGAAGAATATGAAATTAGCAAAGTCATTGGTTTAACATAATTTTTTATTATTTTAAATAGTGTGATTTTTTCTTATATCATATATACAACTAATCTATGCAGTTTGTATTTCGTTTTAAAGGTGAACACATGAACGTTAGAAAAAAGTTCTTTTCAACTCATCTTTTGATACTCATTACGAATAAATACACTGTTTGGGCTATTTAAAGCAAAAAAGAGCATTCTTACTTTTCATTTAGCTTTAATTCTTCACAAAGGTTACTTTTCTGACTAAGTATTTTAATATGTTCATGTGTGATAACTCAAGCAGACACGTTAACGACCAAAACGGCGTTTAAACATGTCACTTTATAAATTTTTAAAATTGTTTGATTAATCGTCAAAAACGCGTTAGAATAGTTTAAAATTAATATTTTTTAACATGTTTTAGATGTTTCAACGCTGAGAGAAATGGAAACTTTCATCATTTTAACGCGTCGTTGGCGATCACTCTAACATTTTTAATGATTTTCAGATTTTTGATGAAAAAATCTTGTAACAATTAATAAACATTTCGTTTAGGTGATAAATGGACAAATGTATGGCATGTTCCACAAGTCCACCCAGGTCCATCGTTCTGGCCACTGGATATTGCAGGAACCGGCAGGAAAATACGGGAAAAATCACCGTATCCTGCAGGAAAACAGCGGAAATAGCCGGAACATGGAAGCAGTATTCCGGCCGAAAATTCTCCGGATTTTTTTCGGTGAATTCCGACCAATTTCCTGTGTTTTCCGGCAGGAACCGAGCGGAAAATCATCGGAAAAAATTCCAAAAATTTCCGGCCGGAATACTGCTTCCATGTTCCGGCTATTTCCGCTGTTTTCCTGCCGGAACCGGCCGGTACTTTTCGACCTGGGTATACATAAAAATGTTTTTTTTTTCGAATAACTTCATTATTGATTGGTCTTTATCAATAGACTTTTCTCGTACGACAGATGACAAGATCACGTTTTTATTTCTTTAGACAAACTATTATAGTGCTCTTCAAAGTAATTATCTTCAGTCAAGATGCAAAAATTCAACATTTTTTTTTTGGTTCAATTATAATATTTCGTAAATTTCCTCTATCTCACATGCTCAGTAGTTAAATTCTCAATGCCATTTACAATACCCGGTCACATAACAGTAAAGCACTAAATATTCTGTCATTAGAAGATTTAATGCCTATTCTTTGTATACTAGGAAACTCAAGTTTCATATTTAAAATAACTGAAAAACTTAGTTTTGAATGAATAAATATTTAAAAATTCAGATCAACTCACGGATTGACTACAGAGAATGTGAACGAGCAATCATCTAACAAGTTTCTAATACTCAAAATAACTACAATCCGATTTGCAATTACTGACGAACGTTTTACTTAATTCACAATACTAAGTTGATCTCAGTTGCGTGTTTTTATTCTCATACGCACAATATCGACGAAAACATATTTGAAGAAAAACCGTAATGAACCGCGGTTATCAGCAGTTTTTAGAAACCGCAAAAATCAGACCGTTTATTCGATTTCCTGAAACTATCAGTTACTGCGCTTTTCACCGGTTTTCAAAAATCGAATAAACAGTCTCACCTTTGCGCTTACTTACAATCGGTGAAAACAGCGATTTTTCAGACCAAAGTACACAGCGATGAATCTAAGCATGCCTGAGTCAACTGGTCTGGCTCAGGATGCTAGACTCACCTGAAGTATTTTCAAAGTCAAGATGAGTTATCCTTCGACTGGCGATGTAGTGAAATTTTACAAGACCCATTACCACAATGTCACCGTGCACTGAAAGATGAACTAACAAATGTATTTCAAGTTTCCTAAGAACAACGTACGGTGCAAAAGTAATGGCACAAATGTGGATCCCTATTTCTCTTCGACAAAACAGTGCTGAACGAAAACTTTTTTACCGAAAGATAGAGCTTTTTCTTCTCTTTCGAAACGTATATAACTTATTTTTATAATACACTTATAAATGAAATGACACAAGAAAAAGAGAGAAACACTCACGCAATAAAATTGTAATTTTTATATAAAATAATGAAAAACATCTTGTTAGATAATAATTAGTTCGATTTTTGTGGACCCATTAGAAAAACCTTGTAAAATGGTGGTTACTTTGACTTTTATGAACTTATTAAACATATCTTGTACAACAACAGTCTATTATAATTAACTATCATCTACAAGATGTTTTTGATCATATCATATAAAAATTGCAAATTTATTGCCTGCCTGCTGCTTCTTCTTCTTCTCGTCTCGCTTCATTTATCAATATGTGACAAATATGAATCATATACTGTTCGAAAGGAGCGAAAATTTTCTATCAACTGATTAAAAAAACTATCCTTTCCAGAACCTATTTATCGAAGAGATATAAGGATCGACATTTTATGAGGTCCTTTCATAAAAAAGTACAGATTCTTTTCGAGAGTGCTTCTCTTTTCTGTTGTGTCGTTTCGTTTATGAACTTGTTACAAAAATAAGTTATATACGTTTCGAAAGAGAAGCAAAAGCTCTATCTTGTGATAAAAAAAATGTTTTCGTTCAGCATTCTTTTATTGAAGAGAAATAGGGATCCACATTTGCCCCATTGCTTTTGCATCATACGTTAGTTGCTCACGACTAGGAGACCGAAGTTACCATTACGTTACCGGGTAACTGGTAACAGATCTGTTACCAGTTATCGGGTAATATAACTGTTTGGTAACGGTAACTTCCCTTCCCCACACACGACATCCTCGTCGTCGTTACACATCCTATCATACCTCAATATGTACTGCGCAAAGTCTGTTGAGACACTAGTGAGCAGGGGTATGGATGGCGCGCGGGTGTGAGTCTTCCATGCTTCAATCCACATCCACCCACATCCATACCCACACATTCCACACCTACACATTTCACACCTACACCCACCCACACCCACATCCATACCCACACATTCCACACCTACACCCACCCACACCCACATCCCTCACACACCTACATCCACCCACATCTCACATTAGGCACCATCGTGGAATATGCTCTGATACATTCTCTTCCGAGGCTTATCTGCAACGGTTTACAACTCTCGCTCTATGTAAGCAATCGAGTCATAACTGCTTTCACAAATCTAGCATCATAGTTCAGAAAACGGTAGGGATCTAGAAGGTAATTCGTTGCAGTCGTGATGGAAAGGTTGATGAATACTTTGACATGCTATGATAATTCTCTTCCTTCAGTCTAGTTTATTGAAAAATTAAATTGTGACGTTTTGTTGCTGAAAAACACTTGGTCAGACATAAAAATTTTGATAAATAAGATATACACTAGAACAGAAATGAACGAGAGACAAAAAGACAAAAAGATGAACAGAAAAAATTGACTAGACATTTCTTCTAATAGTGATATGGAAAAGAATTAAAAACTTTTCAGCTATTGCTATTATCGTCCTATTTTGCCGTATCACTGTTAGAAGAAATGCCTAGTCAATTTTGTCTGTTCATCTTTTTATCTCTTTGTCTCTTGACCATGGGGTTCCAGAATTTCGCCAATTGGTGAAAGTACAGTGAGCTTTCAGCAATTTCATTGTAAATTAGACGTATACTAAAAAAACATTTTCTCACCTATATCGATGAGTGTAAACTATGATATATATATTTTAATAACATTAACTTCAGCGCTGACATATATCCTATATTAATATTGTTCCGTGACAACTGAGATAGTCCACCTCACTTTCGCCAATATACCCTCGGGACTTTCGCCATTGGCGAAAGTCTTATTGGCGAACATTCCAACACCCTTGTTCATTTCTGTTCTAATGTATATCTCATTTATCCATAATTTTATGTCTGGCGAAGTTGTTTTTAACAACAAAATGTCACAATTTAATTTTTCAATAAACTAAAACGAAGGAAGAGAATTATCATAGCATGTCAAAGTAAGGTAGTTTGTTTGACAGTTACTGCAAGTTGGTATACGAACATGGTTAGAAGACAGATTTCAATGAGAATCTCCGACGTATCTACGAACTGCCACAGGAGTCCTTCACTAGAATATGTGGAAAAGTTACAGAATATTTTTGCGGACGAACTTATTTTCTCCCGTTCACCGAATACACTGAACAAAAATCGGTTGAAATCAGCCGCTTTCTGATCGTCCATCATCTGTAGATAGTATAAACTCTGAAATTCGTGAAAAACATCTCACTTCCAAGTAGACAGCTTACCTGCGATACACCACGTAGACACAGCTAGACACTAAATGAGAACCCCAATGAATCCGGTATATAATTTCTCTCTTTTATAGTTGCTCGCCATCAACAAACGGTTGCCACTTCAAATAAATCAACAACGGCTTCTATGTGCACAAATGTAACTTCATTTTTCCTTGCCGAGTGAAGAGAAAAGCAGCTTTTGATTTTTTAATGCACTTTAATCAATGTGAAGCAGCTCAAGTAGTCAACTTTAATAATGCAGAGAGCCGAGAATAATCTCTTTGATGAAATAAATGCGACGACAAAATAAGAAAAAAAAATCACATTTTACTTTGTTGTATTTTGAACTGCTTATCGACAATGCTCTCCTATCAAATCATTTTTCTCTTCATGCAACCGACAAAGCACAATCACAATTACAACGTTCCGCCAAAGAGTAATCTACAGACATGCAATGTGAAACAGTCCCTCCAAACAAAAAAAGTTCCTTTCTCCATTCGCTCGTTCTTCTCTATACTTTATTATTATATTTTTATTTACATATCAATGAATAGAGCATAAGTTAAACTACACATACATATACATATATGAAGCCCATTTCAGTGGCTTGTTGTTTCAGATTTCTTCGACCTATACAAAAATGTCTCATTTTTATGATACTCTCCTTCGAACAAAAAAGTTTCTTTTTTCGATTCATTTTTTCATCACCTAATATGCTGTGTTAAAAGAAAACAAAATACACCGCAAGATGCAGCGTTAAAAGTTCTACAATTTATAAAGGACAGCTTATTTTATAAATGCAATTTTTGTTTTCAAAATGGACAAAACTCTCAGCCACTAATTTTTGACAATTTGAAAAAAATAATTTTTTGGTACATGATGGATTTCTTTTCTTATGTCATTAATTAATGAATCATTGCTTTTAACTTTATCCCATTGTTCGGCTATCGATTATAGCTTTCGATACAACTCATTAATCAAAACAATCAGAAAAGAAATTGCAAATTGAAGTCTCTTCAACTCGCACTCTTTCTCACAAAGGAGAAAAAGCTACTGCTTTGTCGGTTCGTTCGAAGAATGCTATCACACATTCATTCACAGTGTAGCCATGTATTAGCCTCAGTGGAAAACTTGTTGGAGCACTCTTCCGTTGTTTGAGAGAACCATCTGGTTCCTTGAGCGAAAGCGTTAAGGTGAATTTCTTGTATTTAATAATCTTTTTCTTCCATCTGAATATATAATTCAATAGACAGATTTTCATGATTATTGAATATTTCAGGCTCGCCTATTCAAAGCTCCTAATATTGTGGTGTCGTGCAGTAAGTCTGAGAAACTCATAACAAGTCTCGTCAAATATTGGGAAGATCGTGTCTTGCTTCCTTTTGTGTCATCGTATCGTGCTCTTCTCATTTCCGATTGATGGTCTGGTCAAGGCGACAATAATGGTCTTTATGACGATATCAAACATCTTCATCGGCTTGAAATGCCTAAACAAACAACAGCCCAAATTCAACCTTTAGAAGTGTTCTACAACAACCAGCATAAATATATTGCACGTCGTATATTTGATCGAGTACAGCTTGATGAGCTTGACGTCAGTTTAAATGAACGCAACAACATTACACTTGTAAAAGTACGAATAGCCGATCTCCTCAGAAACAAGCCATAAGCACGAAATATTTTTACCATAGACACAGCTTATTAAGATCTGTAAGATGCGCTAAGTTCCGACTCGAAAGTGCTCCGGCACCTGGGAGCGTTCCCTTGTTAGCCAGAATAATCATCCGAAAACATGTTCACTACGAGCAGTTTGATCAGGTTCGAAGCCAAAACTTTAACTAAGGCAGTGGCCAAACTCTGGGTCCATTCTAAAGCTGAGACCCAAGCTAATGTGTGGAATTCCACTTCAACTGAAACGAAGACCAATACTGATCCATCAAAAACTGTGAGAGGAATGCAGGATCGGACGTGAAATCAGGATGAATCATGGAATTGAGTCTGAAACCCGTACAGGAAGTGAGGTCTGACAGAGCTCGCATTGCATATCGCAACCACGATAGACTCTGGGATCGGCTTTGAAGCTAAAAATGTAACTGGCTATGCGACTGGAACTTTAGGTTGCATCGGAAGTTGGAAGCTCACTGAAATCGGTAGCAGGACGATAACTTGAATTGCAATGTAGACAAAAACCAGAACTGAAACAGGAATCGTAATTAGAACAAGAATAGACACGGTGATGAGAACGAAAACGTAAACAAAGGTAGTGGCCGAGACAGATGTTGAAACTGAGACTTGGGCCGTTGCTGGAACTGGGAACGATTCTGGACGTGAACTAATATTGATACTGAGACCTGAACTTCATCCGAGACTTGATCTTTGACGAGGAACGCAACCGTGTGCAAGAAGCGCTCTCAGAACTGATGTCAAAAACCAATATATTCTCTCATATGTAGAAGAAACGTTTGAAGCTTGATTCTACCAGAATCAATGGTATTGAGCTGCATACTATTGCTTGTGAAACCTGAATATTTTATCGATCCTGTACAACGATGGGGAGAAAAAAACAAGTGAAGCCATGACATAACGCACATTTTTTCTAACCTTCGATTCACTCTCTCTTGCCGTTCTTTAAGCTGTTCGATTGATGAGTGATAGAACAAGCAAAATAACAATAATATTTGTATGAGAAAAATAAGGTATCTCAATAATACATGATCATGAGTAATTTAATATAAACGGATGAATGCGCACAAGCCAAACTTACTTAGTGATGTATATATAAGCAATGCAATCCTTTTATCTCTTGCATAGAAAAGCATCAATACATTACAGTGTTATTCTGGTTGTAGATACGCAAGGTTTCGTAAGACTACAGTGAGCAAACGTAAGTCTTTGCAATTGCAATCTCTTCAAAAGACCATTTTAATCATTAGTATCCAGAGGACTTTTCTGTCCTTAAGTAGTACCTCTAACTTTATATCGTATTATTTTCGTATCGCAGTAAGTATTGTCGTGGCAACGAAATCGTTGCGAGGTTCTGCATGAAACCAATAGAAGATATTAGCTCCTGTAAAGTCATTCTCCTCGCAAAGCTTCTGTAGTAGGAATTGTCAATACGTTTTGTAAGTTGCACCGTAGAAAGAAATCGTTCAGGATTGTATTCGTTTACATTCGAAAATGTTTGATCTCGTTGAAAATTAGATTTAATGGCATACAAAAAAAAAGTGTTTCATAAAATCTTCGTGGAAGGGATTCTCTCCAACTGGGTTTTTGGCAATGAATACGCTTAGGATAATACAATATTCAAAATAATCATAACTCAAGAAGAGAGGTCGAGAAACATAAATCCTCTAAGATCATTTAATCTTAGTGGGATCTAGTTTATCGGAATATTATCAGCACATAATTTTCTGATCTCGAACGAATATATTTCGCCCAAATATGTGAAAACTTATGCAAAACTGGCTTTGACTTGCATCGAAAATATTCACATTCTGCTCTAAGAAACTCAGATAAAATCTCGTACTTCCTACCGAAAAAAAACTTCCTACGTTTAGATACTTTTCACAGAACTTTTCAAAAATCTCATTCAGAAGAAAAGGATGAGTTCGCAGAGCGATGCATTTTTATAACTTCCTTTTTCTAAACGTTGAAAAGAGGACGAAATTCCTTCGATGTACGTTTACTATGTTGAAACTCAACGACATTTTTACTTGCTCAAGTCACAATCCTAAAAATGGTAATTCTGGAATCTTGGTCAATGCTCAAAAGATGTGAAGTGATACTATTGACTGTTTTTAAAAGTATGGATAGAAAACATGTTTAAGGTCTTAGACCTGAGTATGTCCATGCAAACTCTTGAAGACAGAAAGCAATGTGTTAATTTTGACAGAGATCGACATATACTAAATAAGTGTTAGCTGGCCAAATAAATATTCAAAATAGTAGTTTTAATAATCGTTTTAATATACTACAGCATATTCGCAAATGTTTTGATCGGGTATAATTTTAACGCCAAAAATATTGTCCAGTCCGCTCAGCTTATTAAATACATTCTTTTAACAGTTTGAAAATCGTTGGCATAGTACAGAAAAGTCGCACGCTCATATATCGGCTGAACGAATCAGGCAAAACTACAATATTGACATTTTCCTCTAGAAGCTTTCGATTTTTAAAGATATATTTATTTGCTTATATCAGAGATGTTTTACTTCTTAACTATTATCTCCTCGTAGAATTAAATGGCTCCTATGAATGATAACGCTAAATCAGTCAATTGTTCGCATCCTAAGAAGAGTGTTTTCGTCGATGCAAATAAGAAGTCGACATCAACTTTAAATACACGAAATGCAAGAAATGTTCAGAATAACACCATCAATCGAATGAAAACTTATACGATTCGACAGAATATGTATGACTTTTTCTTTTGATGTCAAATATGATCATTGTTACTCTTTCGTAGGAAATATTGCCTCTGGTCAATAATGAATTTAAATATCAAATCCGTCTTTTTATTGCCTATATTCACAAGTGTAGCTATGACCATTGGCATACTGGTAGTTTATTTTACCTCATCAAAATTATTACGTATGTTCTTGTTATTTTATATTCTTCGTATTCAGTACGATAAAAATCCGCAGTTAATTAGGTTCTTTTGTGGAACTCAGGTATATTTTCAAAGAAAAAAATAGTGATTGTAAATTTAAATCGAGATTTTTGTGGCTCCTCTGGGCTCTCTCCATTACAGACGGTAGCAATTGTCCCCTCTCCCCTTCCCATAGGACCTAGTAATTGTGAGAGGAGTAACGTAAATATAGTTGGATACGTTTCTATAGCAACGAAACACGGTGTATAAGTAATATAGTGCTTAGATCGTTCTGAAAATCTGTGGATTGTAACTGTTTAGTCTGAATTTTACGATTTTTTGTTTTTCATGCAGCAATGGGATCTTATTGTAAATGTCAATTAATAGAGCGGTCGTATTTTCGATCAACCAAAGTCAGATAGGACGGACGTAAAAAATTATGGAATAGTTAAATTCTAATTTTAGGCAAAACTCAACAGTATGTATCGAGAATCGGTGGCAGAGAGGATAGTGCGCACGATAGCTTACTGAGCGATAAAATCAATTTGTATAGCAGGCTAATATGGTAGTTGTACCGACGACACGAAGAGTAAAATTATATTTGCTGCTTCCTATGACATATCGTATATATATATATATATATATTATCATTAGGAAAAAAGGAGTTATGTGTTGAAGATGTATCTGACAATACAAATACATTTATTATTGTATTACGATGTTAAATGAATCATATAAATTGGTAGAAAAATAATTATAGATGTGAACATTATCGACATGATAAAATTTCAGAGCGCCCGTATCAACTATAAAATTCGTGAGAATTTTGGTTAATTCATTTATTTGGCATTTTTCTTAAAATAAATTGTTTTAAAGTCTCTCACAATATCTCATAAATTTATAACAATCAGAATTTGTGAGTTCCACACTTCAGCTCCTAATAAGACCGCACTGGCAAGTTTTTTTTACCAGTATTGTGAATGTTTGGTA